GCAGATTAAAGTTGTGTTTTGCATGGCTGTAGCATTCGTGATGGAGTGAGTTTTCAAATTTCCATTTTCTCGGTTGGATGGTCACGGTGGTTCCGTTGTCTATCCTTTCTTAAAGTGGTTCGGAAGTTTCGGTAACGCCCACTTTTGTTATAATTAACACCGATTAGGAAGATCAAACGTTTGGACCAAACATTGTTCTTTTTAGTGGTTAGGTAATTAGGCCTATTTGGGAATGAGTATTTTATTTCATTTTTCATATACATATATATATTTGCATGTACTGCCGGAAATTATTAGAATGGTTCTGTAAAATCGTAGGGCCAGATAAACCCACTGAAAAGAGATCAGCGGATAAACCCCGAACTATGAAGCTGAAGTTCAAGCAAAGCTATCGTTTTATTACTCCCTGCTTAGTCGCAGCGGGATCGAACCTCCATAACCTTGGGCATTTTCCAGCAGGACACTGCGTGTACATGGTCTTTGGAGATTAGGTGTTATTTATATCCACGCGTCTGCAACTTATTCCAAAACTTGAAAGATTTCTTTATTTAAATTTATATTTTTTTCTATGTTTCCAAAGGTGTTAATCGGTTCGGTATGAATTAGGTTATAAAAGAGAAATCGGTTTCTGCTCGTTACGTGACATTAATGAATTGTGCATGCTTCACAAGATCTTTCTTCGTGTTTTTTTTTAAGAACTGAGTAAAATGAGAAGTAAAGAGAACAGGAAGAATCGGAAAATGCTTCCTTGCTCCATAAATCAAATATTTGAAAAGTTTTTCTCAACTTAGTAACTGTACTTGAAAATAACGTAATGTTGCTGCCAACCGAGTCCGCTTCTCTGTCTAGGTTAATTAGCCAAAGTTAAACATTGGGGGGGGGGGGGGGGGGTTTCGGGTAAAATATTTGTCAAAATTAATGAGGTCCCCAAAGGCCTGTGTGTCCGCACTCAGATCGGAGACCATAATATAGAGCCTCAGCCTTATTTGACTTTCTTAAAGACGAGAGAATGGTCGAAAATGGTAGTAAAATGTACAAAGAGGTTTTACCAAAAGAATTGTGACATTTGTCAATAATTATTGTCGGTAATTATTTATTTATTCATTTATTTATTCATTACATTTATTTACCCAGGGTATGCCCAAACAGTTGAAAACTGATTATGCATGTGTACACATTGTATCGATGTCTACTTGTTATAATGTCGTGTAATAGTACACTTGTTTGTGACCCGCATGCCGTAATTGTAATGCAGGCCTAGCCTCAGATTTACGTGAGAGGTCGTACGGTCTGTAGTTCATGAAAAGCCCACCCTACATCTGCCTATAGTAAGCCATTGATGTACACTGTACATGTACATTGTGTACATGTATCCGTATTATACAAACGTAAAGGATCGCTCTGAATCTCAAGATGCATGGCTACTTCCGATTTCACTATTTTTGCGCTTTTTTGGGACTCCGTCAGCAGCGCGGCACAGCAGGAAAGTTGACCGCACGAAAACAACACTGGACCGGTTGGTTCATTGCGAGGTGAAAGGTCAGGTGTAAATTTGTGGAAATTGGGGCAAAAACAGGTGTTTTGGGTGGAGGCAGACAGCTTGTCGGGTGTATGCATGGGAGTTTTGTGTTTGCTCTTGTCTTTTGGTGAGAGACACACCCTAAGATGCTAAAACTGCACTGCCGGTCGATGCTTAAAAAAGGTTTAACAGATCTGATAATAAACGCAAGTTCGCTTGATAACTTCTCTACAACTAGTACAAGTGCTCAAACTATAGAGCAAGGATACACGCTGAAATGAGTTGCACAACGATGATCAAACTACATGTTCAAAATAATGAAGTTTTAATTAGTGTGTGTTAATTACCAAACGAAAAACATGGACTGATTCTACGCAGCGCCACATGGAGGGACAGGGGCTTCACACAGTCCGTACGTGGTTAAACAGGGCATTGAAGGGTTGAAAAAAGGTTAGATATTGTCGTGTTTAGGCTACAACAAAAAACAGAGGAAAGAAAATTAATACTTAACGCTTTTTTCAGTTCTCTGAAAAAAATATAACAAAGGACCGCCTTCGAATCGTTAATCATCACAGTTTTGTTTAAGCACGGCTGTGAGACCGTTCATTAGAATGTTATGTTTTCTTTTGCCTATCAAGTAAAAATATACAAGCACCTTTAAACATAGGCACCGTTACTAATTGTGCCTATGTTTAAAGGTGCTATACATGTTACTCGAAAGGCAAAAGAAAACAGAACATTCTGATGAACGGTCTCGCGGCCGTGCTTTAATTTACTAGTTTGTGGTTCGTCCGCCCACGAAAACAACTTTATTTATCTCAATCTGAACCGTCATTACAGGTTCCAAAGAACATAATGTACAACCAACCACACCCTCGTTGTTTGTATCCATCGCTGATGTATTGCTTGAACATGAATAACGAGCGAGCTACATTTTAATTTTAAAGCGGCAGTGTTCGGGACCCTTGATAACGGTTAAAGTGGGTCGAGTATTTGTTGATTTCTATTTATGCAATCTTGGGCGATCATTTCGACGGTGATTATGAGTGATTAATATGGTCGAGGTCAGTCGGCAGGGCAATCACTGGCTGTAGTTGTGGTATCAGTTTGGGGCTTGCATGCATGGTGCTTAAATATTAATGGTTTGGAGTAAAAATCTTAAACGGGCGTGGTTTAATACGAATTGATTAGGGTGGGGTTCATTTTTGTGGTAATTAGGGTTGTCATCAGTTTTTACATCGTCACTTGCAAAATATGCTTGCTTGGAATTCCGTGGTCTGAAACTAGGGTTTTCATACATTATTCGGAAATTTACATCGACCGAATGGATAGCTATAGTTATATTCTAAAGAAATCTAAACGATACCACAACTAACAAATGTCCCTTGTTATGACCTTCCGTAATTTGAAGAAAATTGATTCTATAACGAAAAACATTTCATGAAGAGAAAAAAATTAACTTGTAACAAATTTTACTGCCAGTATCGAGAGTGTTATATTTAATATTTGCGAATATACGACTCCATCGAGCATATCGCTAATGTCAAATTTATGGCAATACAATCATTGCAAATTAGAAAATCCGTGCCTGGCCCAATCTGAAATCACGACCCGTCTGCGAATGCCCACTGGCTGAGTTGCCACCCTGATAACCAACATTTGTCTCCTTTATCTGTCTTAATATGGGCAAACTCCAATCTTTTTCGGGGCCTTGCCCGATTAAAGTCCGCCAAGCTAAAGGAGATCTCACGACAAAACGCATTTCTGCCAGGTCCTATTCACCTGTTACCGTGATCGAACTTTGAATATTTTAGCTTTTCTCTGGGTTTCGTTATCAAAAATCTGAAGGTATTGTTGCTTTGATTGTTGCTGCCCGTTGCTCTATCTGTTTGACCTTATTGTCAAAGTCCTGTATTTGCATACGTTTGAACAGAGCTGAGCTAATTGCTTTCATATAATTGTGACACTAAGCGTATTAAAAAGTCTTATGAAATAGTAATTTGACAATAAATGTTACTCCAAAATCAGTAAAGGGATTTAACAATCCTTATGTTGAGCAAATTCCATTACAAATTATGTTCAAATGCGCATTCCAAAATTACATTAAAATACAATTAATATTTTAGAAATACACACAAAAATAAAATCATCATTCCTTCAATAATATTTCCGAAAAGCACACACGATAGAATCACCATATATTAAAGTACCGTTAAATAAAAAAATTACATAAAACAATTACAGTTAAAGATGTGCCCACTAAATATTCATAAAAGCTTACTGAAACAGAATGTGTTAAAAAAAAGTGCTGTCAAAGTTTCATTGCTTCTAGCAGTTCTAATGAAGTAGGGAGAGCATTTCAAAGTTTTGGTGCCGCACACTCAAATGCTCGATCTCCTAAATGTATTCCTCATTGCACAATAATTGAGAAGTGGATGAATCACCACCAGAACTACGAAGATTATAATGTGAAATACTCCGTTTTGTATAATATGTAGTGCCTTGATCAACAATACTGTGGATACGCGCGCTTTATAATGTTTATAATGCAGTGGAACATATTTTTGACATAACGCAGCGCTCAAAATCCCCCAGCAACTTCAAAAGTGTTCGATTACCCCAAATTTGATTTTGATTTGCCCAACACCCTATAATTGCAACTCTCTGATAACAATAATTACTGTCAAATGTTTTCTTGCTTAGGGATTAAGTTAGTCTTGCGTTTTTCAAAGTAATGCATTCACCTAATTAAGTTCCACGTCTGTGCATTTTGGGTGTGGCATCTCAGAAAATAATAAGTTTGAAGTTCATTATTTTTTTCATTAGGAAAGTTATGAGTGGGAAGGATAATATCTGCAAAAATAAAATTTATCAATTTTCGGGCGTATTTTGGAGACCAGAGTACGGACATAGCAAGTGTTAAATTGAGAGTTTGACATTTTTCTCAAGGGTGGTGGGGGACAGTTCGAACTCACACAAACAATCTCGAATTCTAGAGATTCCATACATGCGGGGAGACCACAGTTGCTTTAATGCCTTAAGTTATATGAAAATGGAGCTTGGTCTGAGTATAATGTGAGATTATTGTTTGACTTTGACTAGAGTTGATTTGAGTTTCTTCTCTAGTTACGTTCTGTAAATATTCAGAGCTGAATGGAAAAGGTTAGAATGTTAGATGTCAAATAAATGTGACTTTAGCTGTTCACGTAATCGACTTAAAAGAAAGGAAACACTCAACAAAGTTGGCGTGAGTGAGAAAGAAAATTGGAATGTTTGTTTACTATTTATACATTGAATGGGCGTATTGTTGCATTTGGGTACAAAACCACTATCTTTGGGGCAGGGACCCGAACTTTGGCTGAGTTTAGTTAACGATTTACCCGCTCGGTAGACCGCTCAGTTCACAGTGCAATGGGTGAAGTTGTTTAATGATAACCTATAATATAATGACTGCTCAGTCAACTTCAAGTCACTCGGTGATCGGAGTCCGATTTGGGCGTTTGGTCTTTTGGTATACGGGACAGTCTATCTGATTTGGTAAGTCGGAACAAAAGATTCTTCTTTCCCTATTAATTCATTTATTTGGGCAAGGAATTAAGAAAATGCGAAACGATGGTTTTGCAAGTCATAATACAATCTGGGCTCTGTCTCAAGACCTCGTAAATCCAGAAAATTCTGGATTAAATTGACACCTAGGCCTGTGACTTGAAAGAGTTTTACGAGATTATTTTGATAAATTCTAAAGGAGATTCACGCTCTCTTCTTTAGCAATTGATACCATGCGATGTGCTGTTTTTACGATACGCTGTAAAATGAGCTAACGTATGTGAAGTTTTAATATAGAGCTACTGACGAAACCGAGTTCATTTAGGTCAAAATAATTAGGCATGCCTTTGTTTTATTCGATCATTTACATCGGATAGTTATCTAGAATATTATTCTGTAAACCCTTTATGGATCAACGAAAGCTACATTTCAATTCGATGTCGAATTTTAGGCCAATTGTAGTGATGCATCTGAATTGTTTAATGTACACCATTTGTTACTCTTAAGTTTTTAAATACCCTTTTGACTAATGTCATATCAATAAATGCTATGGATTTCCCTTATAATTTGTTTTAAAATGAAATTCATCATTGTTTTATACCAAATCATCAAAATGTTTCAAACTTGCTCAATTATGTTGAGAGGAACAATGTGGTCACACCCGATGTATGAGCAACGGTGTCTTTATAGAGTTGCTGCAGTTGTTCGTACCAACGTTTCGAAAATTAGCCATTTCCTCAAATCTTTACCTGTGATGCACTACTGAAAATGTATAGTTTAAAGGTGATTGAATAAAACTGGGGTAACTAAAGCCTGACTGCGCAAAGCCATTATAAATTAACCATCTCGTCAAGATAAGACTTGTGATCTGCGACCGTTGCCCTAACGACCATTTGTCTTTAACCTAGTAGCCCCGTATAACCCTCAGAAAGCTCTTCAGCATAACAAACAGTCTTTAGAAAACTGGCTACTTCTACAAACAGTGTGTTGTACCAAAATACACTGTCGTGTATCAAGTTCAACTCAGGACAAACATATTTTTTTTTCTGTTGGTACCCATGAAGGAAATTGTTTGGTATAATTGAACTGGGTTTTTCCTAACAACGTACAGTTGTGATTATCTTAAGCTAAATGTTTGGGAACCCTGGGCCATATTTTGTGGAGATGCTGGTCAGAAATTTACTATAACAAAAAAAATATATTTAGAGCAGAATCTGGTAATGAAGATTTTAAGTTATTTTAGGTAGTTAAGTCGCATACTTATTATCTTTAATTAATTGTCAGCAGATTCAGTCTTACAGATTTAATGAGTCATGTAGGTTTACTCACCGATATCGTAAAATCATCAAAATTATTTACCGTGCCGACGTATAATTCCACCTGATGGAGATATTGCACTTTGAATTTACTTTTAAAAAGACAATTTTTCTAGTGTTTTTACCAAAGAGGGTTTTTATAATTGTACAAATTGAAACATCGAGAACCAAGAAACCAATTGAAACCAAGAAATAGCTTAAGTTTGAAATTCGTTAATTACTCAGTTTTACTCATAGTATATTGACAAGACGAGAGCTATTGGCGCAGTTTGTTCTGTTAATCGTATACTTCACCAATAGGGAGTTCTTGCACACTTTGCCCTCATCTTGGCCCAACTTGAACACGCCCGTTCCTGACAGTTTATAATTAATGGCAGTCTTCAAAATAAGGTTTGTGGCGTCTCATCTTTGTGCGCAGGTGCAGCATTGGTATAACTTTACGGGGTCCGCCAGCAGCCATCACATGTGCCTCACAAGCAAGGACTGATGGTTGCAGTACAAATGGAATAGTGAACTAACGTGTTTAGTGAGGACTTGAAAGCTATTTGAAGTCAAAGGTAAGTGATGTAAATTAAAAGATGAAAGATTGAACAACGGGGGTATATTTGTTATATAATCTTTCGTAAAACTGTTCTGAAAGGAACATCGACAGGAACAGAAATCCACATTTTAGGCAGCATACTTAAAAAATAAACCAACATGTTGAAAGAGGACCTTACGGATAACTGAGGCAAAGAGGTGGTGATTTAATTGAAAAGATGAGATGTAAACCGACTATTGGTGAAATTGTATTTCAAAACATCTTTTCTGAAAGGAACTTTGAAATGAACATTTGGTAGGATTCACATTTGGGCCGTTTGAAGTTTGCGGGAAATCTTTTCAAAATAGTTATGACTTGAGTATTATGGGCGTTGCATAAATCATCATTTTGTTTTACTGGTATCTCGAAATTGGTAATCAACCAAAACAGTGCCAGGCCTCAGCATGACTTGATTCATTGTTGCTCACTTCAAAAGAAAGCTGATTTACGCGGGGTGTGTCCGACGCGTGGCTTTTAATGGGTCCAGAGGTTGCCTCTGGTATACGCCGAGGAGACGCAAACTGGTTAAGAATTAATTACGAGGGAGAGATAGTGTATCTTTGTTATTTGGATAGGCCTGATTATATTTTTTTTGTTAACTCAGATTAAGTTTGTTTCTGAAATGAGCTAGGCAGGTTCAGAGTTCAATATAATTTCTACCCAAAAAAAAGCCGCCGGTCGGGCGAGCTCAATTGGAATTGTTCAAAGATGCTTTCCGGTCAACCAAACAGGTTTTTTCTACCGCTGGAACCAAAAAAACAATAGTGGTTGCCGGACTTAACAATTTTTGCTTGTAACCATGGATATCTATAGCACTGAAATTATATATTTTGTTCATTTGTTGATCTTCAAATATCTCCTTTGATGTTAAGATAACCCCCCTCACATCACAAGTTTCGTTCAGAAATAATGGACTTTTACCTTTTGTATCTTCCGATCCTGATCTTTGTTGGATTGTTGTAATTTACTTCCCTTAACCACCACACAATTATGCATTATTTCTCACGCCCACGATTTTATTTTAGATGTCGTATCAATAAACAAACATTTAATTTGTTTGCATTGGGCCAGTCTGTGCAAATGCGCTACCGAAAAGTGGTGTGTTTTTTTAATAAGTCCTAAGATATAACAAATAAACCGTCAATCTTGATGTCTATGCTTAAAATTTACCAGCTTCAGTGCCTATCATGAACGTCGCGAGGGGGGCAATGGTGGCGCCCCCCCCCCCCCAAGAAAAAGTTTATATATGTATATAAAAAAAACAAATAAAAGAGAAAAAAGACGAGGGGCAAAGTCAAAATAGCTGTTAAATTTATGCACAAATAACAACATATAGGCGTCTGCAGGGGTGTCAATGGGGGTGGGACGGGCAAATGTTCCCCCTCCACCCTCGCAAATCGATGAATTGAGAATATGCTAGAGAAAGTATTTTGGGGACAAAATGTGCTTTGCCCCCCTCTGGAAAAAAATCCTGGTAACGCCCATGATGCCTATCAATGTGTAAGGAAAAGTTTATTATCAAATTTTAATCTCACAAATGTACAGTGCCAAAACTGTATTAGCAATTAAATACTTTTTAAAATTTTCTAAACACTTTCTTGCTATCAGTATGTTCTTGCTAAACACGTCTAGAGTAAGGATGAATAGTGTTTATGTTTAGGAATTGAACACATAATGTTTAGCTTCTAAACATGTTTTCCAAAGTGATAGAAATATTGTGTTTAATTGCTAAACATAGCTAAATTGCAATTATTTAAAACTATAAATAAAAAAGTGAACATTCGTCTAAATAAAAAAAAATATTATCCAATTGAGTATCTTTTATGGAGCGCCGTTGCTGATTACAGCTTCCAACACACCTCATAAGTTTTTAAAAAATCCCAAGTCGTTGTTCTCAAAATGTCTGTGAAAGCCCAGATCCCTTTAATATTGGCCCGGTCACAATACAAGGCAAATGACAACAATAGAATGGTGGCCTTGTCGTGAAAACCACAAAATATTTTGTTACGGTGCAATTATCGCCCTTCCCTTCCCATTAAAAAAGTGTTTTTTTCTTCAAACATCATGTACTAGGGTCTTTAAGTTTCCTATTTTTCTTTTAAAAAAAATAATTATGTCCAAAGCACTTCTCCAAAATCTCAAAGTGTCTGAAAATATGGTTCTCACGTGAAATTTTGTTTGTATTTTTTTTTCATACAAATCCCTCAAAAAAAGTTAAACCTTTAACAGCAAAACCGTATTGTTACTTGGTTTTTCGCCCAAGATATATTTTCCTTCGAGAGGGGTCATTGGACCGGACAGGAGCCACCATGGCACCCGATCCCGTCCGGGAGCAGATGCGCTCCGGCATCGACATCGGCGGCTACGGCGACATCCAGACGGACGAAGAGGTGGTGCTGACCTACGATGACGTCCGGAAACGACGACGGGGGTTCCGCTACGGCAAATCCCTCAAGGTTGTCATACCAGTCCGGCCAACACCAAAGTAAGTCCCCTCCCCGCTTAAGATACCCTCCCCCTCCCCTCCCCCCCCCCCCCCCCCCCTCCCTCCGCTTTATCCAAAATCTTTTGATTTTCAACTCTAGAAAATAACAGTGCCCCGTTCAAATTGGACACCATTCACACCACTGGTTAAGTCATCACTAGCAAGGAGAATGTCGGACCCAGGGTTGGGGGAGGGGGATTTAATGGTTGTTGAAGGTGCGTCCCTATTAAGGGGGTGGGGCGGAGGGCAAGCTCCCCTAGAAAATGCTGGAAGCGTTCCTGGGTATCTTAAAAAAAAAAAAGACGGAGAATTTATTTCTTTTCGATCCTTCTCAGTTTACTACATACACTCGATTCAAATTTAATCAAGTTCCACTGAAAGGTTCAAATTTTTGACCAATAAGTGACATTGATTGTTTTTTCTTCTTTTTGTTCAGGGGAAGATATGCCGTCTTCGATAAATACGGCCTGCTGTCATTCGTCTTCGCCACCTACATGAGTGAGATCTTCATGAAGGCGTACACCCGCGTACTGGAGCCTGAGGATCTCTTCCCTATCTCGCCAACAGACACTGCCACGCTGGCTGGCCTCAAGTGAGTCCAGACAATGATCAGTTAATTGATTGATTATTGATTATTGATGATTGACATTGATTAATATTGATGGATCGATTAATTCGATTGATTAATTATCTAATTGACGGTTAATCAATTGATTGATCAATTGAACCACCAGAGGAGTAATTGCTTTTGATTGATTAATTTATTGACTGATTTCTTCATTTACAAAATGTATTTTAAACCCAAAAAAATTTGGGGAAAGTTTGAATAAAAAACTGGACAGCCTTTGGTGCTAGTAATTTTTTAGTAATAATACATGGTCATTCTTCAAACATTTTATCCAACATGAAGTGCATATTTGACCAGAAGATGTGAAGGTGATATTTATATCGAAGAAGCTTGGCAAAAGATGACCAACCTTTTTCAAATGCAAGCTAAAACAACATTCGTTTTGGCAAAAGTTCTTCATAAGTAATAAAACACCACCCCTGCGATCGAAACTAAATTTTTCCAATTTGACGCCAACCTAGCAGTACCTTCGCTCTAACAGCAGTCAACTAATGCAAATGACCCTTGCTGAGGTATTTTTGGGGAAATATTTTAATTCAGTTTGGTAAATGGATGAAAGATTTCAAGCCAGTTAACAACCTAAATGTTGCATGCATAAGCATTTATTTCATTTGTGTTGTAGGCCAATTCTTTCCACCTTTAGCTAAATTCATTATTTTTTTTTGCTTATTGATGCCAGGGTTGAAGAACTGTGGCAGAAGCAAATTAAGGAGAAGGGCATCGAGAAAGCTTCGCTGCCCAGCGTGGTGGTCAAATTTGTTCGGACGCGTCACCTCGTAGGCTTCTTATTTGGCTTCACTGCCATTGGACTCAGCTTCTTCGCTGGAGTAAGTAATACGACCAATTATCAGTTAAGGGCGGATCCAGAACGCAATCTGTTTTGGGGTAAACAATTTGTGTTTCCCCCCCAAAAAAAAAAAACAGTTGGTCAAAAAAATGTAGGCGTGGGGATTCTAGATGCTCTGTTGTACGATCTGATGCTATTGCTGACCACTTTAACCAAATGTTTTGAGGAAAAGATGGTGGTGTACGCAGAGCCTGCCTTTATTGTAACGTTACTTAAACAAAAAATTGGGTTTCGGGGGGGGGGGGCATTGCCCCCGTCCCCCCCCCCTTTCCCCGATCCGCCCTTGTCATTAGTGTTCTTTATAAAAACAAACATTTCCCCTCTTGTAGCACTTGATCAGAAAAGTTTGCAATAGGTACCACCTTACATCAATAGGAATTTCAACTTCAGGTCCTATCAAAATGTGACACCTTCGATCATGAATAGGACCAAGTTTCACAAAAGTACATTTTCTTCAATGTACACTTCCCAACTTCGATGAACTTATTACCACTAGGTATCAACACCTACTAGAGTAAGTATAAACTATTACCTAAGTGTTAACGGCTACCCGAGAACAACTGACACTTTAAAGTTATTTGTTAAACCCAAAACCTCAGTTTTTAAAAAAGTTTAATTGTCAAGAGAAGTGGGCAGAGATCTTTTACATTGTCTAGCTAGGACAATGCATTTGATTCCACATTATGCCTTATTGAAGTTTGATTTTTTTTTTCCAAACTCAATTAGTTTGATCTGTCTGGAATGTTTTATTAAAACAAAAATAAATCTGTTTAGGTTAAAACAAAATAAATCTGGTTAGGTTAAAACAATATAAATATGGTTGTGTTACAGTCGTTTGTCATCGGACAGCTCCTAGCGTTCGCTGGCAATGTGAACAAAGAATTCCGCAACAAGGAGTGGAGAACGGGAGTTATGTGGGTCGCAATACTTGTGGGCTGTAACTTGAGTCGCACCATGGTGGACTCCATACACTGGAGTATCAACTTGAGGACGGCTACCAGGGCACGATCTGGCATTCTGTCCATGGTCTTCAAGCGGGTTGCCTCCCTGCGCAGTCTTCAGGATAAGAGTGTTGGGGAGGTAAGTTTCTAGCTACTGTACAGGGGGAGTAATAAAAACGAAACCCAAATGTCGGGGCCATTGTTTTAGTGAAGTTCTGCATGTAGCACTTTCAAAATCTAGGATATGAAAGCCCAATTCATAAGCTTTCTTTTAGTACAAGAATCATTTAAATCACTTATGTATTTTTCAAGTTACGGAATTTTAAACACAATCACCGTTTTAAAGTTCTGTTCACGGATCACAAAAAAGGTGTGTGTTATTTCTTTCAGCAAAACAAAAACATTATACACACATCCCTATGTGATTTGTGTTCGTTTTGATGAAAGAACACTGAACTTGTTTGTGATCCGTGGAAAGAACCTTAAAACGGTGGCTGTGTTTAAAACTCCGTAACTTGAAAAGTACACGAGTGATTTGAATTATTCTTGTACTAATAGAAAGCTTATGAATTGGGCTTTCATATCTTAGATTTTAAAAGTGCTACATGCAGAACTTCACTAAAACAATGGTCCCGACATTTGGGTTTCGGGGTTTTTTTACTCGCCCTGTACAGGGGATCAGGTTGGTGCAGCGTGGTTAAGTTTCCTACACCAGTGCGACTACTGTACCTTGTGTCCCACGTTCGAACTCCGCCCTTGGTATCCACCTCTTCGAGTAATTATCTTATGTCCTGGGTTCGAACCCCACCCCTTGCATCCACCTCTGCGAGTAACTACCTTGTGACCCAGGTTCTATCTTCAACGCTTGAATCCACCTCTACAAGTAATTACCTTGTGACCTGGGTTCGAACCCCACCCTGGCCCTGGCCAACACACGGTTGGGTTTCCAGTGCCTGCCTGATTTTGTGGGTTGCCCATGGAATGTCATTTTAAGGTTTCTGGCTCCTAGCTATGAAACCTGAATTCTACCAAAGGTTCTCACCGAAAATAGGCTAAGTCGAAGGAGTTTTGTGAGCTGAACCAGCCGAATAGCCAAAATAATATTAAAGAGTTCATGAGATGGAATTTTGCGATGGGGTGATGTAAATCAATAATAGGTTTCGCCCTTCACCGACGTATAAACACTGTATACTCAGTGTGTTATCTCCCGAGTGAAAGTTGGAAAAAAATCACTCGGGTGGGACTCGAACCCACGACCTTCTGCTTTCTGGTGCAGATGTCTTACCAGTATTAAATAGATAAATAAATATACTCCTTGAGACTTTGCTGAGAATTTGCTCTCTATGTTGCCCTTAACAATGACAATGAATTTGTCCGAAAATGAGTACGATCGTGATGGCAATAGTGATTTTGGAATGTCAATGTAGTGATGACTATGAATACATTGCAGTGATGTCTGAAAGTTGCGGTGATGATTTGTCTAGATTAGTATACAAATATTGAGTGGCTCAGCGTGGAATGGGAGGAATATTATCGCAAGGTAAAATCTGGACTTTTCCATTTCACGAGGCGAAGCCGAGTGAACTGGAAAAGTCCAGATTTTACCGAGCGATAATATTCCTCCCAATTCACAATTTAAAGCCACTCAATATTTGTTTTATATAACTGACATATAGATCCTTGTCATTTGATATATTTGAACTTGTTTTTCAATACAAAACTGGAGGAAAATGTATTTCTCTCTTCCAAACCACCCCTTCACGAAAATGTTTGAACCAAACGCTGTAGCGCTGGCTCTTTGGAACAATACGCGCTACGCGCAACGCTGAACGCGCTCACCAGCATACATTTGCACACAAATACCGCGTCATGATCCTAACTGTTGAATAGTATTTCCCATTCCCCATGGGCGGATCATAGTACTTTTTGAGCCGCGGCGTGAATGGGAGCAATAACGAATGTCACGTGATGTGAGTTCCACCTATCAAATGACTAGGATCTGTATGTCAGTTATATAAATTGACAATGATGATCAGACAAAGGACAATGACTATGTTAGATTACAAGTAGGCCTAACCGATATTTCATGTGTCCGTTTTGATTCTTTCAGATTGTCAACGTCTGTGCCAACGATTCCCAGAGGATCTTCGATGCCATCGTCTTCCTGAATTTTCTCTTCTTTTCCTTCTTCCTGATTGCGGCCATCTTGGGCTACAGCTATTATATAGCAAACTGGCCAGCCATCGTAGGCGTTCTGTCTACCTTCATAATCTTCTGGCCCTTGACCGTAAGTCTTGTTGAAGAGGTGCCCCGACCTTTATGATCGCATTAAGCATCAACTGACTGTCTTGGGCATGAGGGTCCATCAATTTGCTTTATTCGTTGTAGTATTTGGGGAGGGGAACATACTTGGGAACACTTTCTTCAGAGATGAAGAAACATTTTTACTGACAAAAGATTGTGGATATTGGGAGATATGGATGGGGTTTTGGGGTGTTGGAAGCCAGTGAAATATGTAACGGAGGACTTTTCAAATGAACTTGTCCTTTTCAATGAAGTATACACTGTTCACTGTCCCCTCAACACCCCACTCTTTGCAGCAGTACAAAGGCGTAGAGTGAAGTGCTCGGGAGGGAATTTTCTATAAAAAAAAAACAATGAAGCATGGCTCTAGCTAAGTTGGTCCTGATTGTATCCCTAGTCCGAGTATCATTGTACCTGTGAATAGCCTTTTTGTAACAGTCGGTCATGATCTCACGATGATTTGGCCCAAGCAAAAATGAAGAGTTCATTTGCAATATGCATGCATATATCCATTTGAAAAGAAGTGATACATTTGCACTATTATGAAACAAAAACAAAACAATAAAACAGCTGTTCCTTAACTTCAATGTCACTTTTTGGTATTCTTAACTTGTGGTTTACAATGTAACAATCACCGAAACTGACGCTAGGGCAGCCAGGGATTCTAAAATGTAACAACATGGCATTGGTCACGTTTTGGAAACAATTAGACTCTTCAAATATTAAATCAGACAATATTTAACTTTACTCAGACTAGTTTACGCCCATTCCGTGCCGTTGCCATGACTGAACTTTTGGTAATTGTTGTCTTTGGTTCCTAGATCGTCATGGGCAAATTACAGTCCATGATTCGGCAGAGGAGCATCAAAATTACCGATCATCGCGTCCAGAAGATGAACGAGCTGTTGACCTACGTCAAACTGATCAAGATGTATGCCTGGGAGGTGCCCTTCTCCAAGGATATTGCTGGTATGGACAATTCAATCAAACTATGGGAACATGATCACGAGTTGAAGTAAAATCCATTGAATCAAATTGCTCAAGTTTCCACACGTATTTCCATTTTTTAAAGTGGATTGATTGTTACAATTAATCGTCTGGTTTTTAGTTTTTGAAATTAGAGAGTAGGCCTTCATACAATGGTCTGTTTGTGCTCGCAAATTACGCATATAGGATGACAGTGGCGTCTGTTTTTTAGTTCTACAGTATATACTGAGATAAAGTGGTAATGTTGACTGATAAAAGTGCAAGTATACAGTACGACCCCAAAAAATACCCGCAACATTTTTGCGAGGCTCTAGCGTCGCCGCGGAAACATGTACCGCCATTATGTTTATATCATTCTAAAGTTTGGAATCTTAACTTTATCTGTGGTAAGTATTGGTTTGATTTACGAAAGAGTTTTGAAATGATTCGTGTTCCAATAAGGGCATGTCAAAAACAAACTCAACCGATTTCAGGAATAAATCATCATGCGCATTTTTTCCTATTGTGGAAATTGTTTATCGCGTTCATGAAGTGACGATCTCGTTGCTTTTTTGTGTTTCCAATTCTTTTGAATTCACTTACACTTCAACTTAAAATAATTCACAATACTGTGTTTAGTTTCCATGTACCCATTCAAAAATCGCGCTCAAAGTGTGACTCAAGTTTGCATCTTATGTACTGCATTATCGATTTTCCACGAAATTGGTTGAGTTTGTTTTCGACATGCCTACATTTGAGCACGAATTATTCATAAACTCTTTTCAGTATCAAACCAATACTTGCCAGGGATAAAGTTAAGATTCCAAGCTTTAAAATGGTATAAAAAATAATGACGGTACGTGTTTCCACGCCGACGCTAGAGCCTTACAAAAACAAATTGGGGGTATTTTGGGATGCTCTGTACTTTAGGAAATGTAGCAATCATGTTGCTAAAAAAAAACTGGACTTGGACTCGAGTCAAAATTCCACCTTAATGTTAACAAGACAGGTAGACCTGCTGTTTTCTTCGATCGGCAAACTTAGCTTTCTTTATGGTTTTTGCTTGATCTTGCTTCAGGGATACGAAAAAAGGAGAGGGGTTATTTGGAGAAGGCCGGCTACATGCAGAGCATGACGGTAGCTGTGTTCCCCCTGACCCCCAACGTTGCCACCGTCTTGACCATCATCATAACCGTCTTGACCGGGGCCAGAGAGCTGAATTCAGCCACGGTAAGTACCTATTAACCCCTTAAGTCCCAAGTTGTCCAAATATACCGTGGTGAAGGAACTTTATACTTGCAAATAATAACTGTTACTGGGTGGACAGTAAACCTGCATCACACTGAAATACCTAAAGTGAAACACAGGTGCTGAAAAAAGTTTTAGGAAGAGTTTGTTTTTTCACTGACCACGTCACAGACCCAAACCTTCAACTTCCCTTGTTATTCTTCTTTTAAAACCAGGTGGTTTGGTTTTTAGGGGTAATTCTTTTCATTAGATGTGCTCATGGTTTCATAAAGACAAGAGGACTGTCCCTTACATATTCCTTCTGCTCTGCGTTATTTAGTGCAAGAGCAACATAAGAACCACAGCATTATTCCTTTCCTGAAAAAAAAGTGACAGTATTTGTTTTATTTTTTTACAGGCTTTCACCCTTGTGTCCGTGTTCAACTCACTGGGGATGGTCCTGGGGCCCACGCCATGGGCCATCCGTGCTCTTGCAGAGGCCAAGATTGCAATGGATAGACTTAAGGTGGGTTTCAAACCAAATGAACAGAGCTGTAATATGTTGAAAGTGATTACCAGTACTGAAAGCCATGTAGTAAAGTTGGGAGCAACACAGAGATTACCAGCATTTTCAACCTTCTGGGTTTTTTTTTTAGCAATTGACAAGTTGAGGTAAAGATTTAATGCTCCAATCTTATAAGGTAAAGAGATATCACACAGCATACCGCCTAGTATTTTGTTCAATATATCCCCGTAAAATCATCAGCTTCTTCTGAGCAATTGAGTGGATTTAAACAAAAACGATAACCTATATATATCTTTTTGCAGCTAATGTTATATCAGTGTGGGACATATCAAGCATTGATAAAGCAAGAGGCTAATTTTTGAAGTAATATTGCAGGGCCAAACTGTTAATGTCCGTTAAAAATGTGACCAATTTTTTTTCCAGTCGATTCTTGAGAGCCAACTATCATGCTGCTCTCTCCCTATGATGGTCAGAGCAAGGCCAATACATGCATCCCATGTGCACCTCTTCTTGATTGATTTTCTGACGAATTTGAAGGAAAGACAAATTTCTTTTCTTTTGTTTCAGAGCATCCTTGTCATGGAGCCGGCCGTGCCCATCAGCCGCATGGAGCAGAACACCAAGTACAGCGTCATCATCAAGGATGCGGTCTTTGCGTGGGACAAGGTCAAGGATGACAAGAACCCGCAAAGTGACGTCGACTCCAACGCCAACGTCAAGCAAGAGAATCCCATCTATGCGAAGCCAGGCCCTAGGAAGGCACCACGTACAGATTTCAGCGTTCAAGTAGGTTTTGGGGGTATAGAGATGTGGGATTTATTTTTTTGAAGGGGGGGGGTAATTGTATGGTACTTGGGGTGTTGTTAATTTCAGAAACACAATATATCGTTGGGGTGTAAGGCTTCTCCCTTCCTCCAAGGTATCATGTTTTAACTGCTCTGGGCAGCTTTGTGAAAATGGTAAGTGGATGACAGTTGAAGGAAGTCTATACTAGAAATCCACGAGTCCGGCTTTCTTTTGCCAACATCTGTGATGTACTGGATCTGAGCTTGCCGAGGTCGCTTAAGCAGTTCCAATCTGATTTAGCGGGTATCGTAGCTTTGAGACCACACAAGCAAGCTTAATTGCCTCATTAACAGAAAACACGGCAACCTTTATTCAACCATGCATTGTTTGTGTCCAAAATAAGGTGGAACTGGATAGTTCATCCAGCTCTGACGAAGATAGCGATTCCTCAGACCACGGCAGCACCACTCCGCTGCCAAAGCACGGTGACGACATCCCAATGAAGACGAGAAAGAAAGAGAAAGAAGCCGAGGCCATGACAGAGGACCAGCCAGCGATCATCGTCTATCCTAAACGGCGCAGGAGCTGGAACAGCACGGAGATCGACCGGCTGATTCAGACTGCCCGACACTCTCCCGTTAAGCCCCTGAACCGTAACCAGATGACCGACACGCTATTTGACATCAACTTCATCCTCACTAAGGTAGATTTCAGCACTCTTTGTTCATAACTGATGTTATGGTTGCCATAGCTGTTGGACTGAAACTCAAGTCCAAATACAGCCTTACTCAGATATGCAATTTGAAGAAAAGAAATCCTGTACGATGTTGTCCAGTATGCAACTTAAAGACTATTTCATTTGGGTAGTCTAGTTTGCCAAGAACTTGCCAATTAAAGCAGACTTATGCAGGAAAACTTATGAGGGCCTTGCCAAAAAAAAATGGCAAAAACATTTGCGACATTGTTTCCGGCGGCCAATTTCTGTTTTAAGTGGCTCCATGAAATCACACCTTTTCACATACCTATGAACCCCAATACCTGACTCCCCTATACCTATGTTCTCCAACCCTTACCCTACCCATCTGACACTTACCCTAACCCTTATACCCTAAGGATTTTGGGGAACATAGGTATTTGGGGAACATGCCGTGACTGTCGTTAGATATTATCAGACTAACTGGTTCCTGTTGATGAACCCAGGGGAAGCTCACGGGTATCTGCGGAGGCGTTGGTAGCGGCAAAACCTCCCTGGTGTCGGCCATTCTCAACAACATGCACCGTCCGGAGGGGCAGTGCGTGGTCACCGGCTCTATCGCCTATGCGGCCCAGGAAGCGTGGCTCTTCAACGCTACGCTCAGGGAGAACATCCTCTTTGGTCAGCCGTTCGATGAGGATAAGTACGACCGTGTCATCTGGGCTTGCAGCTTGAAGATGGACCTGGAGATTCTGCCGTTTGGGGATCAGACAGAGGTGAGGAACATGGAGTAAATGCATCCCAATCAACACCAACCTGAATAACGTCTTCGCAAAGGAACCTACCTGAGCTGTAATGAAAACTGCAAGATCCTTCTCTCTTGTTTTGTTGAGGGGGTTCTTGTGCCGTAGTCAAAGGTGGTAGGGGATCCCCGAAACAGGCAATAATTTGAGGGCTACCTTATAGAGGTTTTACCGGAAGTTCTACAGGTTTTACTGGTGACTCAACTTGTTCACTTTTGCCTTCTTCCCTTGTTAGTTCGATGGTATAAATTCCAGGGCTATTGAAATATCTTCTTTTGAAATTGTTGCTGTTCCGAAACAGATTGGTGAGCGAGGCCTGAACATGAGCGGCGGGCAGAAGCAGAGGATCAGCCTGGCTCGCGCTCTGTACTCAGACCGTGACATCTACCTGCTGGATGACCCCCTGAGTGCCGTGGACGCCCACGTGGGCAAGCACATCTTTGAGGAGTGCATCAGCGGGGCTCTTAGGGGCAAGACGGTGATGTTTGTCACCCACCAACTTCAGGTGAGGCCGATATCTTGCGACAAACATGCCTTCAGCCACAACAAGCCGAAATTAATGTATTCATTTTGAACAAGGTGAACTTAAACAACAATCAGCAGTTCAAACATTTCTTTTGACGCACTAGGTGTTTCTTTTAATGGTTAAAAAGGTCACACGAAGTTGCAGATACTTTTGTGTTTGTATACAAAAACTAAGGACGGAGAGTTTTCAGGATTTGTGAAATTAAAATGATTGGTCGTGGTGCACAATATTTCACTTGATTGAGAGAAAATATCTAACATGTCAGCTCTTGTAAGTTATGTCATTCCTTTCTTTTGCTGCTTATTTTGTCACCTTGGTAGTACCTGAAAGACTGTGATGTGGTAGTCACCATGGACAACGGTCACATTGTCGAGCGTGGCCACCACTATGAGTTGATGGACAAGGGCGGTCTGTACGCCAACCTGATCGAGACCTTCCACTCCAAGCAGGAAGATGACGAGCCAGAAGATGACGATACCTTCGAGGTGATGGACCGCAGACTGACACGCGCCCTCAGCGTGCTCAGTACACGCTCCCGGGCCGATAGCGTGCTGACGCCCAACTTGTCGGAGACCGAGACGGAGGGCCAGGCCGGGCAAACTGATGACGGTAAGTCTCAAAGCCGTAAACTTATCACAAAGCAGTTGATCAACAGAATAAAGGAGCCGTACAATGATGGATCGGGGGCCCGATTTTTTTTGCTTAAGTGACGTCGCAAAAAAGGCAGCCACTACGTAGCCTATACCACCTTCTTATTGCCAAACTGAAAATGTGATTAAAGTGGTCGAAAATTGCCTCAGATCGCACCACAGAGCATTTAGGATCCGAAAAAAATTCGGGGCCCTTATGCGGGCCCCAAACTAACTAAACGCCATATTTTTTGGACCCATTTTTGGACCATACTGAAGGAATTGCCAATGCCGAAAGTTTCGACCAAATTGAAATGAGTGGCTCTCTGAGTCAAACCGGTGATGATGCACCTGCTCTTGTTAATTAATTGATTGATCTCTCCTCACCCCGGCAGGTACTTTGATCACCACGGAGGAGACCGGGTCGGGTAAGGTGAAGATGGAGACCTACTTTGGCTACATGAAGGCCATGGGCGGAGCTCCCAAGGTGCTGCTGTCTCTCTTCATCTTCATCCTGATGATGGGCCTGCTCACCTTCAACAACTACTGGCTGTCCGTCTGGTTCAATGACAGCCTGAATGGCTTCAACGCCACTGAGAAGGCATGTATACTCAGTTGTAATCTGAAGATCAGAACTTCACGTGTGCAGACTAGCCACGAAAGAAATGTCAGATATACAAATGGCAGGACCGATTATTTGATGATGTTCTGCATGTAGATCTTTCAATTAAAATGTAGAATATAAAGGCCCAATTAATAAGCTTTCTTTTAGTACAAGAATCATTCAAATCACCCATGTACTTTTCAAGTTACGAAATTTTAAACACAACCACCGTTTTAAAGTTCTGCCCACGGATAGCAAAAAAGGTAAGTGTTCTTTCAGCCAAACGAAAACAATTCACGAGAACAGTTTCGAAAATTGAGGGTGGAATTGGGCAAATGTGCCTCTCTGCCCCACTTGGTGTTAGCTTAACCAAGAACATTAAGTGGAGCAGAATTTGATCTGTAACTTATAGAACAGGTACTTGCCACATTAGGCGGAGAGCGGCATGGGTAAGAAGTTTTCCCCCTTTTGGGAAAAACTTTTAGTGCTGCTACAAAATTTTATCAAATTTGAATTAACTTTTCCAACAATTCGGTCAAAACATTTGCTCCTCACGAGTTGATCCTTCTTTTCCTTCAGTCATGGAGTACGTACCATCTTTTTATTTATATCACACAGGCAGGTGGCATGCCTCCCATTGCCGAAAATCCCAAAATGCCGCTGTACATGTACATCTACGGCTTCTCCTTGGTCGGTGTGTTTGTGCTTGCAGGAATCAAGAGTGTCGTCTACATGAAGGTAAACATTGAATTTCATACTTTCAATTACAAAAAAAGGAGATGAATTCTATCAACTTGGCCTGGCAAAATAAAATATGTTAAATCTGGTTTAGCCAGACATATTGTTGATTATATAAATGCTTGTTATATCAGGAAGCCATGTTTTCAAGTTTTGGAAATTATAAGAAGAACTACGGCCTAGCCACTACTTCATGCGGAAGCAAATTTTAAGAGGAAACAAATTTGTAGACGTCAATAATAAAGTTTCCTTGCGACATCCACAATTTTCTTAAGAAAGTTGCTTCACACTGAATTTTGCATGCAGTAAATACGAACTAACATAAAACAACGATTTCTCTTTCTTCTTGTTTTAGGCTGCACTAAGTGCCGCATCCAACATGCACGACACTGTCTTCCTGAAGGTCTTCCGCAGCCCAATGAGCTTCTTCGATACCACCCCGACTGGCAGAATCCTCAACCGCTTCTCCAAGGATCTGGACGAAAGTCAGTTCTTCCGTTCTGATGCTGTTTATCATTTAAAAAAAAATGCATTTCACTTTTCTGGAGTCTTTATAAATGTGTCAAACTGTGGATTATTTGAGAATATAAATGCTGTGGTACAGCTAGGTGTTAATGCGTTATACAGTACCGAAGTGTGACGCCATTTTTAACCGGGAAGTGTAGTGCAAACATAGAGTGCAAACGATTGTGTGCGTGATGTATTCACTTCGGCACTTACTCTATTATTATAATTGACTCTTTCAGTCGACACTATGCTGCCTATGAACGTGGAGGGCTTCATGACCCAAGTCTTCAACTTCATCTTTGCGCTGGTCATGCTGATGGTGGTCTTCTGGCAGCTGATCGTCCTACTGGTACCCGTCACCTGTATCTTCTACCTGGTGCTAGTGCTCTACCGTAGCACCATCCGCAACCTGAAGCGCATGGAGAACGTGACCCGCTCTCCCTGGTTCTCTCACATCAGCGCCACCTCCCAGGGACTGACAACCGTGCACGCCTACGACAAAACCAATGAGTTCATCCAAAAGTAGGTGGATAATTTAATAACCCCCCCCCCCAAAGCCAAATAACAGAACGTCCCAAAATACTCGCAATTTTTGGGTGAGCTCTATAGCGTCGGCGCGGAAACGCATACCGCCGTTAATTTTATACCATTTTAAAACTTTATCTCTGGCGAGTGTTGGTTTGATATTTAAAAAAGTTTAAAAAAAATTGTGTTCAAAGAAAGATATGTCAAAAACAAACTCAACCGATTTGAGGAAAAGTCAGTGATGCAGCTAGTACATCAAATGCAAACTCGAGTTTAGAAGGTGTTAAAATAACAACCAAAAAACAGTTGATATATATTGAAAACACATTGAACTTGAAACGAATAACAATATTGTGAATTTATTTAAGGTGTAGTCTACGTGGATCGAAAACGAAAGGAACACACACCGACAACGAAATCTTCACATCATGAACATGATGAAGCATTTCCACATCATAAAAAAATGCGCATGATTGTTTTTTCTTGAAATCGGTTGAGTTTGTTTTTGACATGCGTTAAATTTTTTGGTAAGGATAAAAACGAACAAGCCATAACTTCTGTCACATGTCTTACATTCAGTTTTGTTCTTGATTCCACCATTTCCTGAATGAGGCCATAACTTTCCCTTTTTGCCAGGTTCCGACAGCTCTTGGACAACAACTCCTCGCCTCTGATCATCTTCCGGCTGTGCAGTCGCTGGGCCGGTATCCGTCTTGACTTCATGGTGGTGACCATCCTGGCCACGGTCAGCTTGTCCGTCGTCTTCATGCCGGACTTCTTCCCGGCCGCCTCGGCTGGTCTGGCCATCACCTACACCCTCAGGGTAAATACAGAATCTCTTTTTTTATAAAAAGATGTGTACATTGTATCAAAAAAGTTCACGAAGTGCAGTTTGTAGTAGATAAACTATAGGTTTGAATTCTCATAGGACGGCAATTTGGTCCACATTTTCTTGACGGGGAACTCGTGGTTTTGTCATAGTTTTCAACAGTTCAAAGCTCTTTTTAGTTCTCTTCTGTAATGTTTTTACCTGCACGCCAACAGTAACGGATGATTGAGCACCATCTTATTTCTGAACAAAACCTTTAGTATTCCATAACTGCCGAATTCATAGATGAGATTAGCTAGCTTTCCACAGGAATGTGCCTTCTCAGTGAACTAGCATCAAATATTCAAAAGGGAATTACTTTTTGGCCAATCTTTAAAACAGAAATTGCTCATATCATAATAATGAAACCACATTATATGATGTGCCCTTTGTGCCAACAACATTATCAAGTCTTTACCCTGAACACATGGATTATAAATTTGTTGTTTTTTGTTGTTGTTTTCAGCTTACCAGCTGCATGCAGATGTTGATTCTGATGGCATCTGAGGCTGAAGCCCGTTTCACTTCCGTGGAGCGTGTGCTCTCCTATATGAAGGTAAGAGTTCATCTTCACCCTTTCAGTTCGTGTCCAGGTTTTGTAAAACAGAGTTGCTCAAATTTACAGTTAAGATTTAATAAGACGTAGTCACTTTTCCACTTTTTGAACTGAGTCAACATTGCAATGTGTGGTAATATCAGTATTGACAAGAGTGGGTTGTTCTTCTTTAGCGTTGAAAAAATATCATCGCATTAATAAGATATATATCATCGCATTTATGACTGATTTATAAAAATAATTTTCTTAGGCATTTGCCAGGTTTTCCATAGACGTTCCATCACTTTGTGGTGAAGCAAAACTATCATATTTATGACTCTTTGGTTATCCTTCGGCATATCACAGAACCTGCAGATGGAGGCAGCGCTGACCATCAAGGAGAAGAAGCCGCCAGAGGAGTGGCCGCAGCATGGCGACATCCGCTTCAAGCGTTACCAGATGCGTTACCGTGACGGTCTGCCGCTCGTCATCCGCGGCATCTCCCTGCATATCCGCCCGCGAGAGAAGATCGGGATCGTTGGCCGGACCGGCTCCGGTAAGATCCTGATTTGGCACCTACTGCGTGTCTCCAAACAAATGTAGCAGTCAAATTTTTTTCTGAGGAAACGGAATGGGTTTTTTGGTTAAAAAAAATACCATGAGATGATGGAGTGCTATACCCTTGGCAGGATTTGTGTTCTGTGAGATTTGGACCTTTTGTTTAAAAGTTATAAAGAAAAGTTAAAGACTGTCGAAATTTGTTGCCACTTGTCAGATTATCTTGTATCTAACGAAAGGCATTCGCACACCTTCTTGGTATGTAAATGCCTTTCATTAGATACCAGATAATCTGGAAAGTGGCCCAACTTGGAATTCAAGTCCTTTCGTTTAATTAGCTGTATCTCTGGATTGTGGTGTTGAAATGAGATAGAATGAAGACCATTGTGAAGAATATTTACTCAACCTTCAGACTCTATAGATAGATACTGAATTGTTTTTTTTTATATTTATAGATTGATTGTTACATTTTTTGGACATGTCACGCTGTAGTTGTAATCAGAACTCTAGAATAACTCATTGTCACATACCGGTTTAGGTATCATTTGGAATACCATACAAGATCAGTGAAGGTTAATTGACTAAATTTATTCATGATTTTATGACATTTGGGACATCGTGATGGTATTCAGGAGGGTCCAAAAATTGGCTGACACATTAAGTTTCACAAAGGGCAAAAATACCCTGAATAGATTTAAAATGATTCGTCGTCGTTTATAAAATGAGCTCAATTAAAATAAGCAGGGAATGCTTGTGCACGAATCACATACTATGATTAACAAATTAGGTTGTGGCTTTCAAACCAAAGAGGATTTGTATCAACGTATAAAGCTTGAGTCATCGAACACAATATCTGCAGGGTTACAACAATACTGTTTTGAATTTGCTACTCCAGTCAATGAGGCCACAGCATTCCTGTATTTATCGCTGGCTGGTATGCTGCAGTTATTTGTCTCGATCACTATTCATTTTTTTAATGATTTGATTCCAACAGGAAAATCCTCCCTGGCTGTTGCCCTCTTCCGATTGGTCGAGGGATCTGGTGACATCATCATCGATGACGTCAACATCCGTGAGATTGGACTCCATGACCTCCGCCAGAAGGTCTCTATCATTCCCCAGGACCCGGTCCTGTTCATTGGAACGGTCAAGTGAGTAAAGAAACGAACAAACACAACAAACAAAATACAACCGAACAAACAAACTTAATAATAATCATAATAACGGGTCCGGGTACTTACATAATGCTTTTAACAAATATCAAAGCGCTTTACAAATACCCCTGATCATTGGGCCAATTCAACATTCCCAAATACAATCTCAGCACCCTAAGGAGAATACATTTCGGCGCAGCCATTTCAGGGCAAGGCAGCTAAAACCAACCACACTTATCATCTCAGCCATCACAGGTACCCATTTACTCCTGGGTGGGGAGAAGCAATGAGTCACAAAGTGCCTTGCCCAAGGGCACACACACCACAACCCCAGGCTGGACTCAAACCCACAGCCTGCAGAATTGCCCACACACCACAAGTTCAATGTTCCAGATCATGAGGCCGAGGCACTCCACAAACTTAAAGAAATTTGAGTGTCTTCATTGTAGTCTCTAACAATAAAGTGGCTATATTTGTTTTATGTGAACACTTTTGAATTTGTAAATTTTCATTAATTAAACACCAAAACCCAAGTCTAAATTATTAAATTGCAGGTATAACCTGGACCCATTTGGACAGCATTCAGATAAAAACATCTGGCAGGCGCTCAGACAGTCATACATGGCTGAAAAGGTGAGTAGAGCTGTTGACTGGGAGTAACTAATTCCTTGATGAAAATATTATTTAAGAAAATGTTTATCTATTTTACAAAAAAAAGACGTTGGCCTGATTTTGTACCGTACACTGATTATTCATTGCAGATCGAGTCACTAGAGGGCCAGCTTGAAGCCCCCGTTGTCGAGGGCGGCGATAACTTCTCCGTCGGAGAGCGCCAACTCCTGTGCATGGCTAGAGCTCTGCTGAGGAACAGCAAGGTAAACTGTGATTTCTTACTTTCGAATTGAACAAGGGTGCCATTTTCCTTCAACTTATTGAAATTATTTTCTTTGCATACCCGTGTTTGGATAAATATAAATTATAACTAGAGACTTATTCAGAAGCGCTGGCTTAGTCATTGCGCAGCTGTACAAGGTGCATGACAAAATTGTGGTATAGAACTGCCCAACTCCAATTTCAAATTCTCAATGCTTGAGGAAGCTAATACTGAAATTACCATCATCATGACCTTTGATATTCCTTGACCCCTGACCTCTTATTTCTCCTCCCCCTTAGATCCTGATGCTAGATGAAGCCACGGCTGCCATTGACACAGAGACCGACTCTCTGATCCAAACTACCATCCGTGAGGCCTTCAGCCAGTGCACCATGCTGACCATCGCCCACAGGCTCAACACCATCATGGACTCGGACCGCATCCTCGTCATGGATGACGGACGGGTGAGTTGGGGTTCGGGGGCTTGCTTTAAACCACATCTTGGTTTGTCTTGGTTCTTAATTAAACCAACTAAAAAGCTTTTGGAAGACCAATTATTCTACTCAGCGATACATTAGACACAATTTTGAATACTACCCCCACTGTTAGTTTTTTGTGGGACAACCTGTTACTTCATCCAGAAGATTCCGACAACCGAACAACCAAAATTGTAAGGGAAGTGAAAGTTGGCCATATTCGATATATCTGTGCAGAAAGTCTCAGTAAAGACAGAATATAACCACTGTATTACTTTGTAGTAATTGGAAGAAAGTGTAATGGTGAAAAGAAGGGTTTTCATCTGTACTTGTAGCATTTCTTTGGAAATGTTAGAATAATTATGAAAGTCTGGAGGCTTTGGAACAAGTGAGAGGGGTGCAGCAGTGACCATTAATGTTTGATGAGCTAGTTTTACTGTAATTAACAAATGAACTCATGGGTTATTTTTCAATTTTTTTGTGACAGGTTGCTGAGTTTGACAAGCCCTCTGTGCTGCTGTCCAAGCCAGACTCCCACTTCAGCCGCATGGTTGCTGCAGCAGAATCAAGTGAGGATTGAGCAGGATTATGCAAATTATAGCATTATGCAACCAGTACAATTATGAGTACATTTAAATGTATGAATAATATTTAATAAACCATGGCTGAAATACTTGTCGGTGAAAAAAACGGAGATCCTTTTGGAATTTGTAGACAATATCTGAAATAAACAAATGCCAAAATAATTAATAGGTTAGACAAAGATATATGTTGCGTTTATGTTCTTACTTCTTACGAATTCCTTTGTATCGTGTTTAAACAACAAGTGTTAAACTTTCAATTGAAATTGCTGAATACTATAACTCTTTAATGCCCAATTGAAAATCAGTTTACTGTTGTTATGTCTTTACTAGACCTGTTTCTTATTGTCGACAGCCTTTTAGTGTGAGTTGATATTGTGTTATTAACAAGTACACCAGCAGTAGGGTTAATTAGTACGACTGTTTTATCTAGCTGTCAATATATCTCTTTGTTTCACTCTTCGTATTGTTCATTACATGTTATTATTAGTAGATTTCAAAAAGTTTTAGAGTAGTTACAGCTGTATGTTTAGTTTGTAAGTATGATTTGTTTGTGTGAAGCCTGATTTTTAATGTGAACTGCAGTATTTTGGTGTTGTGTTGCCTTGAAAGGAGACTGCAATAAAATTATACAGTTTAGTGAATTTATTATTTTAGGCGGAGTATCTACTGCCGCTGGGAACATATTTATGATGATCCGCTGAAATTGGTTACATAAAATAGCTACTTTTTAGCATTTTAGCAAATTAAATAATAATCTTTCATGAACAAGTCACACCTCGGTAAAACGATGTTATCACTGTAAACTGCGATTCTGCTACAAATTTATTTGGATGAAGAGGAATTGTTCATGTACTCTAGAAAATAAGGTGCATTTTCTTAACCATAACCGTAGTAAAACATATGATAACCAGTTTAACACTTAGTTGTTTTTATAAGATTGTAATCACGTTTTTAGTTTTGTTTTATGTAGGCAGACGTGCATTTCCAATTATTTGTTGTTATTAAGTTGGCAATAACTTTCATGTACAACTTTTCACAGAAAACAAAACCAAGAATTCCTACAAAATATATTTCGTAAGGATTAATAAGTGGGACGCAAGATAAAGATAAGTTTCCTCATTTTTTTTTCTAATGAAGCATAATTACACTTAGTGGACAAAAAAATAGAATAAAAAAGTAAAAAAATCATAGGAAAATATTTTCGGGAAAACGTTTACGTGAGTACAGCAAGACAGTATACATTCAAGTCACTTACCCCCTTTCACTAATAGGACCTGCCCACAAGTTTTGACCAATGGTGCGCTGTTTTCGATGTCAAAGAGTGTAAAAGCTAACGCGCTATTGGTCAAAACTCGGGAGGACTTTTCCATTGATGAAAAGGGTGTGTGGTGTACAGTTTAGTTCCCGATCCCGCCCCTAGTGTAGTACGGGTGGTGCTCTTTGAAAGTTATTCACAACTAAAAAAAAATAATAAAAGTTATCAGTTAGTCTCATTTTCATCATATTCCATAATGTTGTAATTAACCCATGTCAACAAGTTTTTTAAACTTGCACAATTTTGCAGCAGTACATTGCAACATGACTGCTTACACGCGCATCATTTTGATATTTGTTTTTCAATTAAAGACAATTCCGATTGAATTTTGCCAGGACTTATAAGAATGGATTTACTGGCCGAGTTTCTGTCTAAGTAATTATGTCAATCCACTTTTTAATAATTCCCCTAAAATAGAGCAAATGTTCAAGGGTCCCGTATGCCTCTTTTCTGCAAGTTTGAAGCAATTCGATTTTTTTGACCAAAATTGAAAAAAATGCAAGGGGTTAGCGTTACATTTTTCATCAAATTTGGCCAAAAATCGACTTTTCTCCAAACAAGCAGATTATCCTTCGGTGGTCACAGGAGCATCAATAACATTCAAATATCCAACATTAGGAAGATTTGGGCGCAAAACACTGATTTTTGGAGAAAAATAATTAACATTTTGGAAAGATTTTGCCCCAAATTTTCGTCGAAATTTTGTTTTGGAACGCACATCTGTCCACAAATTCAATTCGAATGTGTTCTAGGGCCCTTCAAGCATCTTTCCTGCCAGTTTGAAGAAATTTAATTTTTTGACCAAAATTGAAAAAAATGCAAGGGGTTAGCCTTACATTTTTCATCAAATTTGGCCAAAAATCGACTTTTCTCCAAACAAGCAGAATTTCCTTTAGGGGTCAGGGGAGCGTCAATAAACATTCAAACATCCAATATAAGGAAGATTTGGTCGCAAAAACTGATTTTTGGAGAAAAATAATTACATTTTGGACAGATTTTACCTCAAATTTTCGTCGAAATTTTGTTTTGGAACGCACATCTGTCCACAAATTCAATTCTAATGTATTCTACGGCCCTTTAGGCATCTTTCCTGCCAAGTTGAAGAAATTTAATTTTTTGACCAAAATTGAAAAAAATACAAGGGGTTAGCCTTACATTTTTCATCAAATTTGGCCAAAAATCGACTTTTCTCCAAACAACGCAGAATTTCCTTTAGGGGTCAGGGGAGCGTCAATAAACATTCGAACATCCAATATTAGAAAGATTTGGGCGCAAAACACTGACTTTTTGAGATAAAATAATTAGCATTTTGGACAGATTTTACCCCAAATTTTCGTCGAAATTTTGTTTTGAAATGCACATCTGTCCACGAATTCAATTCTCATGTGTTCTAGGGCCCTTTAGGCATCTTTCCTGCAAGTTTGAAGAAAATAAATTTTTTGACCAAAATTAAAAAAAATACAAGGGGTTAGCCTTATATTTTTCATCAAATTTGGCCAAAAATCGACTTTTCTCCAAACAACGCAGAATTTCCTTAAGGGGTCAGGGGAGCATCATTAAACATTCAAACATCCAATAATAGGAAGATTTAGGCACAAAAGACTCTTTTTTGGAGAAAAATAAATAACGTTTTGGACAGAGTTTACCCCAAATTTTCGTCGAAATTTTGTTTTGAAACGCAAATCTGTCCACAAATTCAATTCTAATGTGTTCTAGGGCCCTTTTGGCATCTTTCCTGCAAGTTTGAAGAAATTTAATTTTTTGACCAAAATTTCAAAAAAAAATGCAAGGGGTTAGCCTTACATTTTTCATCCAATTTGGCCAAAAATCGACTTTTCTCCAAACAACGCAGAATTTCCTTTAGGGGTCAGGGGAGCGTAAATAAACATTCAAACATCCAATATTAGGAAGATTTGGGCGCAAAACACTGATTTTTGGAGAAAAATAATTAACATTTTGGACAGATTTTACCCCAAATTCTCGTTGAAATTTTCTTTTGAAACGCACATCTGTCCAAAAATTCAATGCGAATGTGTTCTAGGGCCCTTTAGGCATCTTTCCTGCAAGTTTGAAGAAATTTTATTTTTTGACCAAAATTGAAAAAAATACAAGGGGTTAGCCTTACATTTTTCATCAAATTTGGCCAAAAATCCACTTTTCTCCAAACAACGCAGAATTTCCTTTAGGGGTCAGGGGAGCGTAAATAAACATTCAAACATCCAATATTAGGAAGATTTGGGCGCAAAACACTGATTTTTGGAGAAAAATAATTAACATTTTGGACAGATTTTACCCCAAATTTTCGTCGAAATTTTCTTTTGAAATGCACATCTGTCCACAAATTCCATTCTAATGTGTTCTAGGGCCCTTTAGGCATCTTTCCTGCAAGTTTGAAGAAATTTAATTTTTTGACTAAAATTGAAAAAAATACAAGGGGTTAGCCTTACATTTTTCATCAAATTTGGCCAAAAATCGACTTTTCTCCAAACAAGCAGAATTTCCTTTAGGGGTCAGGGGAGCGTCAATAAAAATTCAAACATCCAATATTAGGAAGATTTGGGCGCAAAACACTGATTTTTGGAGAAAAATAATTAACATTTTGGACAGATTTTGCCCCAAATTTTCGTCGAAATTTTCTTTTGAAACGCACATCTGTCCACAAATTCAATGCGAATGTGTTTTAGGGCCCTTTAGGCATCTTTCCTGCAAGTTTGAAGAAATTTTATTTTTTGACCAAAATTGAAAAAAATGCAAGGGGTTAGCTTTACATTTTTCATCAAATTTGGCCAAAAATCCACTTTTCTCCAAACAACGCAGAATTTCCTTTAGGGGTCAGGGGAGCATCAATAAACATTCAAACATCCAATATTAGGAAGATTTAGGCACAAAAGACTCTTTTTTGGAGAAAAATAATTAACGTTTTGGACAGATTTTACCCCAAATTTTCGTCGAAATTTTGTTTTGAAACGCAAATCTGTCCACAAATTCAATTCTAATGTGTTCTAGGGCCCTTTTGACATCTTTCCTGCGAGTTTGAAGAAATTTAATTTTTTGACCAAAATTGTAAAAAAAATACAAGGGGTTAGCCTTACATTTTTCATCAAATTTGGCCAAAAATCGACTTTTCTCCAAACAAGCAGAATTTCCTTTAGGGGTCAGGGGAGCGTCAATAAACATTCAAACATCCAATATTAGGAAGATTTGGGCGCAAAACACTGATTTTTGGAGAAAAATAATTAACATTTTGGACAGATTTTACCCCAAATTTTCGTCGAAATTTTCTTTTGAAATGCACATCTGTCCACAACTTCAATTCTAATGTGTTCTAGGGCCCTTTAGGCATCTTTCCTGCCAGTTTGAAGAAATTTAATTTTTTGACTAAAATTGAAAAAAATACAAGGGGTTAGCCTTACATTTTTCATCAAATTTGGCCAAAAATCGACTTTTCTCCAAACAAGCAGAATTTCCTTTAGGGGTCAGGGGAGCGTCAATAAACATTCAAACATCCAATATTAGGAAGATTTGGGCGCAAAACACTGATTTTTGGAGAAAAATAATGAACATTTGGGACAGATTTTACCCCAAATTTTCGTCGAAATTTTCTTTTGAAACGCAAATCTGTCCACAAATTCAATGCGAATGTGTTCTAGGGCCCTTTAGGCATCTTTCCTGCCAGTTTGAAGAAATTTTATTTTTTGACCAAAATTGAAAAAAATGCAAGGGGTTAGTCTTACATTTTTCATCAAATTTGGCCAAAAATCCACTTTTCTCCAAACAACGCAGAATTTCCTTTAGGGGTCAGGGGAGCGTAAATAAACATTCAAACATCCAATATTAGGAAGATTTGGGCGCAAAACACTGATTTTTGGAGAAAAATAATTAACATTTTGGACAGATTTTACCCCAAATTTTCGTCGAAATATTCTTATGAAATGCACATCTGTCCACAAATTCAATTCTAATGTGTTCTAGGGCCCTTTAGGCATCTTTCCTGCCAGTTTGAAGAAATTTAATTTTTTGACTAAAATTGAAAAAAATACAAGGGGTTAGCCTTACATTTTTCATCAAATTTGGCCAAAAATCGACTTTTCTCCAAACAAGCAGAATTTCCTTTAGGGGTCAGGGGAGCGTAAATAAACATTCAAACATCCAATATTAGGAAGATTTGGGCGCAAAACACTGATTTTTGGAGAAAAATAATTAACATTTTGGACAGATTTTACCCCAAATTTTCGTCGAAATATTCTTTTGAAATGCACATCTGTCCACAAATTCAATTCTAATGTGTTCTAGGGCCCTTTAGGCATCTTTCCTGCCAGTTTGAAGAAATTTAATTTTTTGACTAAAATTGAAAAAAATACAAGGGGTTAGCCTTACATTTTTCATCAAATTTGGCCAAAAATCGACTTTTCTCCAAACAAGCAGAATTTCCTTTAGGGGTCAGGGGAGCGTCAATAAACATTCAAACATCCAATATTAGGAAGATTTGGGCGCAAAACACTGATTTTTGGAGAAAAATAATGAACATTTTGGACAGATTTTACCCCAAATTTTCGTCGAAATTTTCTTTTGAAACGCAAATCTGTCCACAAATTCAATGCGAATGTGTTCTAGGGCCCTTTAGGCATCTTTCCTGCCAGTTTGAAGAAATTTTATTTTTTTACCAAAATTGAAAAAAATGCAAGGGGTTAGCCTTACATTTTTCATCAAATTTGGCCAAAAATCCACTTTTCTCCAAACAAGCAGAATTTCCTTTAGGGGTCAGGGGAGCATCAATAAACATTCAAACATCCAATATATGCGAATGTGTTCTAGGGCCCTTTAGGCATCTTTCCTGCCAGTTTGAAGAAATTTAATTTTTTGACCAAAATTGAAAAAAATGCAAGGGGTTAGCCTTACATTTTTCATCAAATTTGGCCAAAAATCCACTTTTCTCCAAACAACGCAGAATTTCCTTTAGGGGTCAGGGGAGCGTTAATAAACATTCAAACATCCAATATTAGGAAGATTTGGGCGCAAAACACTGATTTTTGGAGAAAAATAATTAACATTTTGGACAGATTTTACCCCAAATTTTCGTCGAAATTTTCTTTTGAAATGCACATCTGTCCACAAATTCAATTCTAATGTGTTCTAGGGCCCTTAAGGCACCTTTCCTGCAAGTTTGAAGAAATTTAATTTTTTGACCAAAATTGTAAAAAAAATGCAAGGGGTTAGCCTTACATTTTTCGTCAAATTTGGCCAAAAATCGACTTTTCTCCAAATAACGCAGAATTTCCTTTAGGGGTCAGGGGACAATGAATAAACATTCAAACATCCAATATTAGGAAGATTTGGGCCCAAA